CATTCCTCGCTGCACTAGACTCCTTCTCTCATAGTCATCATAAAGTTTTCTTCTGCATATGTTTCTGCAATGTTCCCAGAATTGTTGTTGTTGCATTCACCTTTCATGGTCATGATCAAGAGTGTATTCTCTTCACCAACCTCTTGTCTTGCAACCTTGGCTTCATGTCCTTGAGATTCCCTCTATTTCGCGTTGCATTCTCTTACAAAGTGATCGAACTTTTGACAATTGAATCATTGTGCCTTGCTCATGTCAATCTTTCTTATTTTGCCTCTAAAGTTGCCTTAATAACCATTTTTGTTGCAGCTGCTCTCACCCTTTTGGCAAGTCGGATTTTTTGAATCCTGATACTCTTTTCTACCAAAATTCTGAAAATTCCCTTTACTCTTTATGGGTCATTTTCTTTTTGAATTCTTATTCTTCTAGTTGAACCGAGCTTGCAAAGCGATCTCTGCTTTTGCCTTGTCGTTATTTCTCTCCTCCATCATTTTCTCATGAGCTTCAAGAGAGCTTTGAAGCTTATCTTTGCTCAATGTCACAAGACTTTATCTGGTTCACCAATCACATAATTTGCATCACGTAATTGTTGATTGTATCATTTTCCTCCATTTGAATCAATTCAAATTCTTGTTTAGGAGTTTGTAACCTCACCACCTTTGCCTTATCATCCCAAGCATATGCATTTCCAAGATTTCCCATGCTTCCTTTGATGACTCGCAATCACCAACTTTCTCAAAGTTCTCACCATCCACACATTAATGGATCAAGAACAATTCTTTGTAATCTTTCTTCTTGTCTTTCTTATGTGTTGCTCGTTGTGCATCGGTTGCACCTTCGACAAGGGGATTAACCTCATTCTTGATCACTTTAATAACATCTTGGTAGCCAAACAACGCCTTCATTTGCTTGCACCATTTATCATAATTCTTTGCATCAAGGGTTGGAAGGTTTGTAGGGACTTTATCATTGGAGACAAAATTCATGTTGCACATCAGGTGTTTATGGATTAAAACCAGACTCTTGATGCCAAATATGGGAACATACAATCACTCAATTGATAAAACATTGGAGTATGTGGAAAAAGGGATAATGAAAGAGAAGATAATTAGAGATAGGGGGAAGATAGATAATTGGTGGCGAGAATATTATTTTGCATTAACTTTGATGAGGATGTCTCCGAGGCATTTATACAAGTGTTACAAAGTGATTGGGACACAAACAATTCAAAAACCATAAAAAAACACGTGGTTGTAACCGGTTAACACAAATTGTAAAAATACAATCATATGTAACCGGTTACTGCGAATGCGTAATCGATTACGCCAACTCCAAAAGTGTTTTTTCTCTTTCCATACGTGCTTTTCACCAAACAGTAACCAATTACGCCTTCATATTAATCTATTATAGTACTTGAATTACTTCTTTTTAAATTTCTATATGCAACTTCCATTCTTATTTAACCAAATGTTATTTATAAATGTTTGTGGGGAGGAACTTCTTTGATAAGTGGGAGCAGTAGATGTAGAACATGCACATTAAATGCAATGTCGGATTGATAAAACATTTTCATAATGACAACCTTCACATGTTCCACGCGTCTATGAGAGTGATCATCAATATAACTTTGAAATGGTCGCATTGCAAGACTTTTCTCTATATGTGTTACAATCTCAATTGGAATCTTTTTCTAATTCTCTTTGATGCAAAGTTGCTAGCAATATTGTTACAGTAGTAGATTAAAAAATTTCACCAAAAAACTCAGTTTGCTTTTGGAGCATCGAATGAGACTTGAAGTTGTTGGAGAAGATGTTAACATGAGGTTAATGGAGCAAAATGTGAGGTGGAGTGAGTTGTGTTGCAGTGGGGGAACTATAGGTTGAAGTGGGAGAGGGCATGCCCCAAAGAGTGACGGTAGAGGACTTATCACTGAAGCATGAGGTCACTAATGAAAGAAATAATTGTTGCACTGTTGTCTTGAAGGGTCTCAATGATTGATCAGAGGTGATCATTGGTGATGTCTCAGGTGCAAATTAACTTTGACCAATCATTGCAGGTGAGATTGAAAGTAGTTACACTCCTAAAATTGAAGAGATTTGAAAGAATCAATGAAAGTTGATTGACACAAACGACGACTCAATATTTTGTACTAGGACAAAAAATGATTGGTGTACTGATGAAGACCACCATGAAGATGTGCTTTGTTGTGATGGTTCTCTAGTGAGCGGAGAGGATACCTGTAAAAAAAAAGGTAAGCCCTTTGATGCTTAAGTCTGAATGAGATTAAGATAAAATTTGGGAAGTATGAGTTGAATCATACTTGGATGTGACTCAAAGTCGCACTTATATATGAGAGGTTGTTGTAACTGTCCTCAGATTGTATGGTGGGTTGTCTAACGAGGAGCTTGGGTGATCCGTGAATTAAGATCAAACGACTTTGATTGAAGTAAATGTATGCTCATATGCCACTACTTACGACAGTCAAAAACCCTCCGCAATCATATAAAATCGTCGGAAATGTCCATTTCAAAAGACTTTTTTCTAAATGAAAAATAGTTGTTGCAAACGTTATCGACGACCAAAAACACCTGCAAAAAATGCACTTTATCCCCCTGTAATAGTAACGAGTTTTGATTTATCCCCCTTTTTAAATAAAAATTTATTTTCACCACTTAACAAATATAGATTCCAAAATAGAAAATCTTACAGCCCAAGATTCTCTTTGAGTTTCAGACGTGGCCTGTGATACTCTTGCTGACTGTGTAATTAAATGTCACCTTGACTTTTTTTAAATATTTTATTCGAATCCTTATCCCTCTATTTGCAAGTCATACACTCAATTACTAAACTATGTGTTTCAGTTTGTATATTACTCACTTTAACATATCCAAATAACAACATTCAATAACTAAATAAACTCCTACAATTCTGCATAAACATAATCAACAACAATCATTCAACAGAATTAAATGGAGAAGATTATTTTACATTTGCATAAACATAATCAACAACAAAATCATTCAACAGAATTAAATGGAGAAGATTATTTTACATTTGAAGAGCATCGCGCATTAAATAATCTTCTCAAAAGCTATGTTGGACAAGGTAATCCTTGGGCTTGTTCGTAAATTTGAAACCTCAAGAAACCAAGGACAAATGGTGGCTGAAACTAGTTGTCAAATGCAAAATTGCCCAGCACATTTACTTTATTGTTCATTTCTTTGAATAAAAAATATAATTAAAATTAAATATCTTTTTTTAGATATTAATTTACTCAGCCTAAAAAATATGTGGTAGGTTAGAATTCATTGAAAAAGTATGTAGTATTTATTATATTTAACAAGTTGAAAGGGTAATCTGGAAAGCCCACTGTGTTGAAATAGCGAAAACCAGAAACCCAACAGCTATAAACTGCCAATGGATTCATATTCTATGAACAGAAATACCATGTGCTAAAAAAAGTTACGCATATGAGCAACTATAAATAAATAAAGTATTATTATTGTTCAGCTATTGCAGGGGTTTATTTGAATATTAAATATTATTATTTGGATATATTAAAATGAGTAACATATAAAGTGAAACACATATTATAGTGGTTGGGTCTATACCTTATAAATAGAAGGACAAAGATTTGAAATCCAGCTAATGCATATTTTTAACAGTACAAAGATTTTATATAATTAAATGAAATATTAAAAAAAGTCAATGTAACATTTAATATACAATAAGAGTGTCACAGACCACGTCTAAAACTCAAAGATAATCTTGATTCGTAAGATTTTCTGTTTTAGAATCTAAAAAGAAAAAAAAATTTAAAAGAATAAATCAAAATTCGCTACTATCACAGAGATAAAGTGTATTTAATCTAATAATTATTAGGGGATTTCTTAACGTACTCTGTGTTTTTCTAGTACACCGCATGAATTTCTTAAAATATTCTTCGATTTTTGGAAATACATTTCTAAAACGCATTCCACTCATACAATTCTTACATTTTTGAAATACGTTTCATTTTATGATTGAATTGATTCTGAAAATACATTACTGAAAATTTTTAAAAATGTATTTTCGATTCCTAAACAAATGAATTTCCTTCATAAATTAACTTTTGTGCTCAAAAACAAATGCGACAATTATATATGTAGTCTTAATTTAAAATATTATAATTTTCTTTCTTATGCCCTTTTATATTTATAAACTAGTTCAATAATAATTTTATTAAATACTACAAATCTAATTATAAAAATTATTCACCTATATTTTTTTCCAACCAATTTACAAGTTGATATGTTATAACCTAACTTATCAATTATCCATTATTTTTTATTTTTACCAAGTTAAAAATTAATAAAAGTAATATCAATAAGTACTTATTCTCTATTGAAGGTCAACTTCAAGTTTACTCTATCAGATTTAATGAATAGATCCAAAGAACATAAGATACTGCTTTAGTAAATTCCTAGCATCTGACCACAAATAAAAAACATCTTTCACGTAATGATTAGAAACCGAAATGCATTTTCAAAGATATATTTTCGAAATAAATTTAGTCGTAAATAGAATGTATCTAAAAACAAAATAATTATACGTGTGGGGTGCGTCCCGAAAATAAATTAACCACATGTTATTTATAAAGTTGAATGAAAAAGACCTAGTTGAATGCACTAAAGATGTAAACAGAAGTTCGGTTTCAATAGTAAAACATGAGTTTACATTGATTTTAAGGTTTCACATGGCAATATTGTTTGTTCTTATTATAACTAAGTCAATGCAGTGATTTGTTCATCTTTTTTATTATAATATAATGAAGTCAATACATTGATTTTACTTCATGTTTTCTGTTACTACTCTTTTTTTTTGTCTGGATCTTCTTATTTCTTACTATACTAATATCTGAAAGATCTGTCAGTGGATACACACAGAAAACTATTCACTTTGAATAAGGAACTTTAGCTCAAGAGGTATCTTATTTCAAACAAAAAAGAGAAGTTAAAAAACAGATGGGGGATCTTTGGAGCATGATTTGTGAGGACTGTGGTTTTTCTGAGAATGGAGGAAAGCCTTTCTGTTATGATCTAAATCTTTTGAAAGATCCTTCCTCGTGTATCAGCCATGTGTTGGTAATTTGCTTTGATGTGTTCCTGCTAATCATGTTATCATTCATCATGATCCTGAAGTCTTCCTCGAGACGCTTTAGGAGTCTAGTAAGATATTCAAACTTGCAGTTAGTTTCTGCCATAACCAATGGCTTTCTTGGGTTTTTGCATTTATCTTTAGGAACTTGGGTTTTAGAAGAGAAGTTAAGGAAAAGACACACAGTCTTTCCTCTTGACGCGTGGTCGCTAGACCTCGTTCATGGATTCGTATGGTTGTCAGTAAGTTTAACTGTAAGCCTTCAGGTAAAACAACACTCAAGAGCATGGTCATGGATGTTTTCTGTTCTCTTATTCTTTGTTTCTGGTATACTATGTGCTTTATCCATGTCTTGTGCAATTGGCAGCAGAAAATTGTCCCTCGAGGCAGCTATAGATGTTCTATCTTTTCCAGGAGCAACTTTACTGATGTTATGCACATACAAAGCATGTACATGTGAAGATGCTGACAGAGAAATTGGTGAAAGACTTTATACTCCTTTAAATAGTCAGTTCAATGAATTTGATACTGTTGGCAATGTAACCCCATTTTCCAAAGCTGGATTCTTTAGTAAGAGTTTGTTTTGGTGGTTGAATCCATTTATGAAAAGCGGTCAAGAGAAGACACTTCTTGATGAGGATATCCCGGAGTTAAGAGAGACTGACCGAGCAGAAAGTTGTTATCTATCATTTGTAGAACAGTTAAACAAACAAAGTCAACACGAATCATCATCACATTCTTCGGTTTTATGGACAATAACTATGTGCCACCGAAGAGAGATTTTGATAACAGGATTCTTTGCTTTGCTCAAGGTACTCACTCTATCTTCTGGTCCTCTACTTCTGAATGAATTTATATCGGTTGCTGAAGGTAAGAAAAATTTCAAATACGAAGGTTGTGTATTGGCTATATCACTCTTCTTTATAAAGATCATAGAATCCCTATCACAAAGACAATGGTATTTCCGCAGTAGACTTGTTGGAATGAAAGTTAGGTCACTACTTACTGCGGCAATTTATAAAAAAATCCTAAGGCTATCCAATTCTGCTAGATTGGTTCACTCTAGTGGTGAGATAATGAATTATATGACGGTAGACGTTTATAGAATTGGAGAATTTCCATTTTGGTTTCACAAGACTTGGACAACAATTCTTCAACTGAGTATTGCATTAGTAATTCTTTTCCAAGCAATTGGACTAGCAACGATAGCCTCATTGGCGGTGATAGTTCTCACTGTGATTTGCAACACTCCATTAGCGAAGTTACAACACAAGTTTCAAAGCAAACTCATGGTAGCACAAGATGAGAGATTAAAGGCTAGTTCAGAGGCTCTTGTGAATATGAAAGTGCTTAAGCTATATGCATGGGAAATACATTTTAAAAAAGTTGTAGATTCCTTAAGAAATGTGGAACTCAAATTGTTATCTGATGTGCAAATCAGAAGAACATACCATATGTTTTTCTTTTGGACCTCGCCGATATTGGTGTCTGGTGCTTCTTTTCTGGCATGTTACTTCTTGAATGTTCCTTTGAATGCAAGTAACGTTTTCACTTTTGTGGCAACTTTGCGTCTTGTTCAAGATCCGATTTCAAACATCTCGGATGTTATTGCAGTGATTATTCAGGCAAAAGTTGCATTTGCTCGGATCGTTAATTTCCTTGATGCACCAGAACTGCAGAGTGAAAAATGCAGGAAAATGTGCTTTAATGACAACCTCAAAGACCGAATTTCAATCAAATGTGCAGACTTTTCATGGGAAGCTAGTGAATCAAAGCCAACACTAACGAACATAAACCTGGACGTTAGACATGGACAAAATGTGGCAATTTGTGGAGAAGTTGGCTCAGGCAAATCAACCCTCTTAGCAACAATTCTTGGAGAAGTTTCTAAAACAAAGGGAACTGTGAGTTTTTGTTCCCTTTTTACTCCTACAATACACTCTTAAATCCTGTGACACTCTAATTGGTTACAACTTGGATGAAATAACAACTAGTGTACCTACTGTGTGGTATCAGTTAAATGGATACACTAAAGTCCTATACATAAATTCAACTTATTTGAATGAAGTTTATCTTCCCTACATTTTTAGTTGTAATACAAATCAGTGTCTGATTCTATATTCTAAATTACAGATTGATGTTCATGGGAAGTTTGCATATGTTTCTCAAACAGCATGGATACAAACAGGCACAGTACGGGAAAATATTTTATTTGGATCCGAGTTGGATGATCAAAGGTATCAAGAAACACTTCAGAGATCTTCCCTAGTAAAGGACCTTGAGTTGTTTCCCTATGGGGACCTCACTGAAATAGGTGAGAGAGGAGTTAATTTAAGTGGAGGACAAAAGCAACGAATTCAACTTGCTCGCGCACTTTATCAGAATGCTGATATATATCTATTGGATGATCCGTTTAGTGCTGTTGATGCACATACTGCAAAAAAATTGTTTAATGTATGATATATTAACTTCTCGTACTACCTCTACATGTCTACCACCATTTTTTATCTAAAGATGGCCTAAAAACTTGGCAGGACTACATCATGGGAGGACTCAAAGGGAAAACAGTCTTACTCGTGACTCATCAAGTCGATTTTCTCCCAGCATTTGATTCTATTTTGGTAAATTCAAACATCTTAAGTATTCTACATGTAAACATTAATAATAAAATATAACTCCCTCCGTCTCATAATAAATGTCTTATTTGAGCTATGTGTGGTTCTTACAGTTGATGTCTTGTGGGGAAATCCTACACGCTGGTCCATATCACCAGCTATTGACCTCAAGTCAAGAATTTAATGATCTTGTCAATGCACACAAAGAGACCGCTAGTTCTGACCAATTTGTGAGTGCTACTTTTTCCCAGAAACATCCAACTTCCATAAATAGTATGCAAGCTTCGGTATTAAAGCAGTATAAAGAACCAAATGGAAATCAATTAATTCAGCAAGAAGAGAGAGAGAAAGGAGACACGGGATTGAAACCATACTTCCAATATCTGAATCGGATGAAAGGCTATATATTATTCTTTGTGGCTTCCCTTTGTCACCTAATATTTGTGGTTTGTCAGATATTGCAAAACTCATGGATGGCTGCTAATGTTGACAATCCCCTTGTCAGCACATTGCAACTGATTTTAGTTTATTTCCTAATTGGTGCTTTATCATCGGTTTTTCTGTTCATCCGATGTCTACTTGTAGTTACTTTAAGTCTTCAATCATCAAAAGATTTATTTTCACAATTGATGAACTCCCTCTTCCACGCACCCATGTCATTTTATGACTCTACACCATTGGGAAGGGTACTTAGTAGGGTAAGCTTAATAAACAATTACTTTCCATCCTATGAAACGTAAGGGAAGACATAATATTCTAATTGTTATTTGTGTTTAGGTTTCATCTGATCTGAGTATTGTGGATCTTGACATTCCATTTAGCCTCACTTTTGCTGTGGCGGGCACTATAGCTCTTTATTCTAATCTTACAGTTTTGGCGATTGTCACATGGCCAGTCTTGATAGTGGCTATACCAATGGTTTATGTTGCTATTCATAGGCAGGTAATATACAAACTAACATTTTAATCATTTTTTATATCATTTAAACCATCCCTGGTTGGAAAGAAAGTACTGTAATGTAAGGTATATTTTTTGTGTTTTATGCAGAGATACTACTTTGCCTCAGCAAAAGAAGTAATGCGGTTGAATGGCACAACAAAATCCTCTTTAGCAAATCATGTAGCCGAAACTGTGGCTGGAGCTGTAACAATAAGGGCTTTTGAGGAGGAACATCGTTCTTTTGAGAAGAATCTTGATCTAATTGATAATAATGCTAGTGCTTTTTTTCATAGCTTTGCCTCAAACGAGTGGTTGATCCAACGGTTAGAAACAACCAGTGCAGTTGTTCTCGCCGCTGCAACTATTTGCCTGGTTATGCTGCCCCCTGGAACTTTCCCCTCAGGTTAAATTTTGGTCTTCATTATCTCTAAACTTTTTATTATTATTGTGATTATCCTAAAAGTGTTTGTTTTTGTCATTCAAAGTAACTCATATAGGTTCTAAATTTCATCATCCTTCATTCCAGGAATTATTGGCATGGCTCTATCTTATGGCCTATCATTAAACGGTGCTTTAGTATTTGCAATTCAAAATCAATGCACTCTTGCAAATCACATAATATCAGTAGAGAGGCTAAATCAATATATGCATATACAAAGTGAGGCCAAAGAAATAGTAGAAGGAAATCGTCCCCCTTTGAATTGGCCAATTGCAGGCAAAGTAGAAATAAATGACTTGAAGGTAATTGGTACTAATTTCAAAATTGGAGTAAATAATTTTCGTTCTTGAATGTATGAATTATCATCTCTATAGTCCTTGATGTATTAGAATTTAAAAATAAAAAAAAACATTCTTGAATAAGTCTTATGTTAGTCAGTTTGATGATCCTTGAATGTGTCTTTCGTTAGTTAGTTAGTTAGTTTGGTCATCTAATGTTTCTTCTATAAGTCAGTTTGATCTCTGAAATTACTAACAGAAGACACACTCAATGATGTTTTGTGATTTTGTTACACTGATAAACAAGATAAACAACAGTGACATCGCATCACACATTTGGGGACCAAAACGTTTGTTTATACTTTCTAAAAATTTTAACCATATTGTCCATACCAGATACGATACAGACATGGTGGACCACTTGTTCTTCATGGGATCACATGCACATTTAAGGCAGGTCACAAGATTGGTATTGTTGGCAGAACAGGCAGTGGGAAGTCCACTCTTATTGGGGCTTTATTTCGTCTTGTAGAACCAGCCGAAGGAAAAGTTGTAGTTGATGGAATAGACATCTCATCTATTGGCCTTCATGATTTGAGGTCACGTTTTGGGATTATACCTCAGGATCCTACTCTTTTTAATGGGACAGTGAGATTTAACTTGGACCCTTTATCCCAACACACTGATCAAGAGATATGGGAGGTAAAACAAGCTTAATTTTGTTTATCTTTGCTATGCCTAGAAAGTGTGAACTAATTCTTGATCAATATGAAGGTTCTTAGGAAGTGTCAGTTGCGAGAAGTAGTCCAGGGCAAAGAAGAGGGCTTAAACTCTTCAGGTACATTTTCAAGCTTCGTTGTTGTAGCTACGCTTGAAGTAGATTTTTTTCCATGTTTGTAATGACAAGTGAAAAATTGTTACCTAGTTGTTGAAGATGGATCAAACTGGAGCATGGGACAACGACAGTTATTTTGTTTGGGGCGTGCTCTTTTGAGGAGAAGTAGGATATTAGTATTGGACGAAGCGACTGCATCAATTGATAATTCTACTGACCTGATTGTGCAGAAAACCATAAGGGCAGAGTTTGCAGATTGTACGGTGATCACAGTAGCACATAGGATACCAACTGTGATGGATTGCACTATGGTTCTTGCTATAAGTGATGGTAAGTTTCTTTTTGACTTTTATTGTCCCTCACTTCTTCTATCTCATTTAACAGACACTTACAAACTAATTAATAGCTCCATGCCCATTTTCTTATGTTGATGATACATAATTTGTTGCAAATTCTTGGACAAGGTAAGACTGCAAATAATAGAGGTTATCTGACACACACCAAACATAGGTTTGTTGTTGTGTAGAGGATATGGTTGCATTCACCTAGTTAGAGGGTAATAGACAATGAGGTTTTCATTTAAGATTTTGACCCCGTATAGCGCATAAACAATAAAACTTAAAATATGTTTGATCATTTACTTGTTTTCTTCAAATAAAAGGAAGGCACTGACTGTATTTTCAGGGAAATTGGCGGAGTATGATGAGCCAATGAGCTTGATGAAGAGAGAAGAATCGATGTTCAGGCAACTTGTCAAGGAATACTGGTCTCATTTTCATTCTGCAGAGTCACATTGACGCTACCAATATTGTTTAAGCCAACACTATTGTTTCTCTCTCACTCTCTTTTATTTCTCTTGTACAAGCAATAAATTAAGAAAGTGAGCAAGATGTGAAATGTGTTCTGCTAGGATAAATTGATAGGCCTAGGAGATTGTACCGAAATAAAATCATGGCCGACGAATAAGGGTCTGTGAGTTTATGGAAGAGGAAATAAACAAGTTGGCTGGAGTGAGTGTGAGGAAGATTCTACAGTTAAAGAAGGAGATGAAATAAATAAGATTTTACAGTTAACAGAATTATCTCTCTTTTTTTTCTCTTCATTTTACATGTTGTATGGAGTAGCAATCCAGTCATAATTTAATTCCTATAGTTTTTCAGTTGAACATTGTAAGTTTTCAACTGGGTCACTACTTCTAATATAGATTTGAGTGTCAATACTAATTTCAATTTACCGCTCAGGTTTTGGTTCCTATCAAAAACTATCATACTAACAACCTAGCATAACAGTAAAGGACAATATCATGTTCCATTGATCCTTTTTCTCATGGAATCAGAAACAGAATTTAGGCAACGATACACATAACAGTAGAAAATCAAACACACTAACAAATTAAATTAAGAGTTAAACTACAATCACTGAAACAATTTGATTGCAGACCTAACGTCAACTTCCTTGTTCTCAAACTATAGAATGTACGTCTCATATTATAAGATAAATTCATTTTTTAAATTTATTAAATAATTAATGTATCTAATTTATATATAGATCAGATATATTAATTATTCAATTAATATAAAAAGTGAATTTTTCTTATAATATGAGACAGAAGAGTATCTATTTCTGCATTTATATACCTAAGAATCACAATCTTCATGATTACTTAAAATTAACTATTATTTAACACTGAATCTTCAAAAATGCAATGTTTCTCAAAATTCAACATTATAAATTATTTCGAACTTGTATTTCTATAAGCAAGCATGTATATGTGATCAACCGTTGCTCTATTGACCGTCGCTGGACGCGTGCTGTGTTGACCGACGGCGGCGTCGTTGCAGTTGCAGCTCGGTGGAAATGTAAGGAAGCGAGATTTGGAATCAAGCAAAAGAGTTCTGAAAGAAGTTTGAGAACATCTTTGAATCAAGTTGTCATGATATGTGTTTGAGACAAATATCTAAGACAGATGTGATGATATTTTGGTGTGTGTATTACTTTGAATCAAGTTTTACACCTACGTCAAATTAAGATGATTGTGATAAAGAAGGAAAAAAGAAAATTTATTTTTATTTTTAATTAATAAAAAAATTATAATCGTTGTTTTTAAATCTAAATGTTATGTCTTTATTCATGTTGAAGTTTATGGTTTAGACCAAACACTCTTATACATGGTTACTGTGATATATGCTTTCAAGCAAATTGAGTAGAGATGAAAATTATGGGACAAAATTAAATGTGGGACTATTTTTTATGATACCTTTGAGAGAGACATACTATTTATCCACCTAAAATTTTAAGGTGATAGGTGAGTGGATTCTCTCATTTATATATACTTAAGTCTGTCTCTACATTCTTATTCAATGTGAGATTATTTCTCCACTTATTCACACTTGCTATATTATTCCAACATTCAGGGTATTGAACAAGTTAAAAATTGCACAACTCATGTAGTTCGTTTGAATCAGCTTGAGGAATCCATACTAATCCAAAAATCAAAGATCAACAACTGGCTCAAGCTTGAGGACAGTAATAAATCCTACTTTTATGCTTCAGTGAAAGAAAAGAATAAGCATAAGGGGCTTCATACTTTAACTTCCTGGGATGGGAACTTACTTAGCACCCATGAACACATTGAGAAGGAAATCTTGGATTTCTACACTACTTTGGTTGGAACTAATGCAATCGAGTTAAAAGGGATCGACGCGCCTGTTAGTAAATAAAATTAATAGAGAATTACCAATTAATAAATAAAATTACAAATTAAAATTAACAATAAGAGAAGAAAATAATAATTAAGAACAAACTTATAAAATAGAAAACAATTAAAATATCCATTATAATGTATACTAGTATATACACTTGAATTTTTAATTAAAAACGTCTATGCAATATAATAGAAATATAATACTAGAAAATACAAAAGCCCAATATTTCATAGGAGCACATTTATATTTTAATAAATTAAGTTTGAATAAGATATAGTATATTAATTAATTGATGAGAGAAAAATAATTAAAATATTGAATTAATATTCATTTAAAAAATTAATTGTACATGTGTATATTACTAATAATAAGAATTAATTGTACTATAAACTTTACTATTTAAAAATACGTAAAAAAATTGATAGAAAAAGCAGAACATGAAACATGTATATGCTTTTGAGTATTGGTTGAATTTGTCACGTGACTTTATTATCTATAGCTGTTTAAATTAAATTTTATTGAATTTGCTAAGCACAACAACTTTGTTCTTTGTTCTTTTTAATTGTAACTAGGCTGGCCTTATAAGAATTTGGAGGCCTTATATGTTTAGAGGCCATGTGTACTGGACCAGGCTGCACAGGTGTATAATCGGTTTTGGTTATGGTAGGAAAAATATTTCTTCTATGTGTATAGTTCAGATGGATATACAAAAATCTTTTGATATAGTTGAATGACCGACTCTCTTATAGTTTCTTTATCAATGGTGTGCCTTCTAGGATTTTGAAAGCTAAAAGAAGGTTGAGACAGGGTGATTCCATCTCATCCCTTTTGTTTTTCTTGGTTATGAAGTGCCTGCATAGAGTCTTGCAATGACTTTGTCTGAATTTTAATTTTAATTTTCATCCAAAGTGTGTGAAATTCAAGATCATTAATCTCTGTTTTGTTGATGATTTATTGATGTTTGTGAGAGGGGACTTGGAATCTATGAAGTTGATGATGGATAAGTTTAGGGATTTTTCTGCAGCTACTAGTTTATATTCTAGTCTCTCAAAAAGCAAAGTTTAATTTGAGGGTGGTAATGCAGACACTCACCAACTTATTCAAAGAGAGACGAGTGTTGTTATCGGTACTTTGTCTTTTAAGTAATTGGGCGTGCTAGTAGAAAACTTACGATAATTATGTGTTAACCTTTAATTAATAAGATGCTGGTTAGATTAAATCATTGGAGCACCAAATTACTTTCTTATGCACGAAGATTCCAGTTGGTAAAAAGTGTTATGTTCTCAATTGCCAACTATTGGATGTAGATTTTTCCTCTTTCCAAGAAAATTCTCTCTCACATTGAAGGCCTCTGCAAAACTTTCTTATGGACAGAGAGAGATATTTCATCAGAAAAGCTCCTATTTCCTGGGAGCATGTTTGTGATTCATTTTGTGTAGGAGGATTGAACTTGATTGCTCTAACATCTTGAAATAAAGTAATTATTAGTAAGTTACTCTATAATGTTTGTGCTAAAAAAGATAAGTAGTGGATTAGATAGATTCACTTGCATTACATAAAAAAGGTTGATGTAACCACCTACAAACATGCAAGTCACTTCTCATGGATCCTTAAAGTTATGTTTAAACATAGTGATGTCTTGTGCAATATATAGTTTAGAAAATGTTCCAAGCCTCTATAAGATATAAGACTAAGCAAGTGTATAAGATGTTTTGAGGTATCAACCCGAAAGTGTACTAGAGGAAACTCTTCTTGCGTAACATTGTTAAACCTATAGTTGTTTTCATATTATGGATATCGTGTCAGGATCGACTTTCTACTAAAGACATGTTACATCGTATAGGGATTGTTACTAGTGGAAAGTGCGCTTATTGTGGGGTACCTGAAACCTCTAATAATTTTTTCTTTGATTGCACTTAGGCAAGAAGAATTTGGCTTCAAATTCTCATCTGGATGAATATTACTCGAAGCCCCAAGGACTGGAAAACAGAGTTATCGTGGGTTTTCCAGCATACTCGAGGTACAAGGTGCAAAGCTCGCTTACTGAAGATTGTAATCACAGAAACGGTTTATACCATCTGGACAATTAGGAACTAGATGATTTTTAAAAACATGGCAGCGGGTGGCTTGCAAAGTGTAGATATCAAGTTGGGGTTGGTTGAAAATATACAAGTTGAAGAAGTCTCACATTGCTTAGTTTTGCGAATGAAAAATGAGTCCAAGGCTATATATAGGATACAAATTATTTGAAGTCCCACATTGCTTAGTTTTGTGAAGGAATAGAGAATCCAAAGCTATATATAGGATTCAAGTTCTTCATTATAAGATGCACCATTCAAAACCACTTTAAGCTTGTATTTGACTTTCTTAGTTCTCTTATAATCTTGTATTAGATTTTTGTGAGATGTGGTTAAATATTTGTTTTGGATGGTGTGGGTGTACTGGGATCATGTGTTAGTTGAGAGTATATTATGTGTTGTAACAATTTTCACATAGTTTAATTCTTTGGTTGTCTATTGATAGCGATCGTGGGTTTTTTTTCTTTCAAATTTGGAGTTTTCACATTAACTTCTTGTGTTGTTATTGTGTTCATCTTTTTTCTCTATGTTTTTTCCCAACAACGAGTATCTGAGCTTTTTGGTTCGGTCCGAGGATATAAGTTGTTAGTATGCTATGTGGTTGCAGCTTTGTTTGATCAGAAAAGAAAGGTGATGTTGTGAAAAAGTTGTTGAGCTGCACTCACAAGTTCCGCTGTGTAGTTTGGACTAGAGAAAATTGATGGAAGAATTCTTTTGACTTGTGGAAATTTCAAGTCAAAGATGTGTTACAATCAAGATTACACATAGTGCAAGATTATGTCGAAAGTTGAAGAGCTTCTGGCCAACAAGGAAGTTGCACCATAAGTTTTTAACCTAGTTTTTGACATATGATATTCTTCGAGTGGTGTAGCATCAAGTGATTATACTCTTTAAGTAGATTATGATAGTTTGTAAAACTATGATTGTCAGTGAAGATAATGTGAAATTTTTTGGAGTTGTGTGGCTTCAAATGACTATACTTTTTATGGTGTAGTATGATTGTCGGTGAAGAGA